AGTAGGTGATTTGTACCCTACATGGTAGGGCGCTCTCCTTATTATGAACACAGGTCTACTGATAAAAGTTTATTAGGAAAATCTATGCTGAGATATTCCCTAACCATTTTAAATGTATATTCATCACAAAATATAACTCCTCTGATGAGATAGTGCGCATGCGCTAACCCACTAACGTAGCCAGATTGTGTACTGGCTGGTATACGCAGCGGGGACCTTACATGCAAGGTCTCCCGCCTATTTCTTAAATAATGTCTACTAATAGAATGTTATCATATAAATCTATGCTACGATAACTCCTCTTCATGTTAAATGCACAATATTTGTAAAATACGATTGCTCTCGGGAGATATTGCACATGCGCGCGCACCGTGTTAGGCGTCAGTGCCGTCTGAGTCAAACTTTATAACATAGCTTGATGCGGGGGAGAAAGGATGGGAGACTGAGGAAAGGCGGCAGGAAAGATAGCTGGGGCGGTATAAGAAGAAGGAGGTTGAGCGAGGGACAGGGGAGGCAAGGGGAAGGACGCGAAGGACTAAAGTATGCGTTTTGTATCCTACATGCTAGGGCACTCTCCTTATTATGAACACAGATCTACTGATAAATGTTTATTAAGGAAATCTATACTGAGATACCCCCTAACCATTTTAAATGTATATTCATCACAAAATATAACTCCTCTGGTGAGATATTACGCATGCGCTAACACACTAACGTAGCCAGATTGTGTACTGGCTGGTATACGCAGCAAGGACCTTACATGCAAGGTCTCCCGCCTATTTCTTAAATGATGTCTACTGATGGAATGCTATCATATAACCAGATTGTGTACTGGCTGGTATGCGCAGTAGCAATCGATGCCGTAGATAAAAAAAAACATGGCAAAATGTACACTTTAGGGAGGAGGTGGAGGCAGAAAAAGAAGAGGAGAAAGAATGATGTAAGGTGTAGAAGAGATGGAAGAGGAAGTGGTTGTAGAGGGTAGATGAATAATAGTTTATCCAAGAGCTAATAATACTTCAAAATTATATGTTAATGTAATCGGTACAACTGTAAAAGGTATTATGATAATTATTATCTATTCTACTGTTATTTATTGATTATATTATATTATATATTATTACAATAATTCCTATGAACATAATTTTATTCGGCGTTGCGGTAAACTGGGATGCTGAAAAGACTTAACTTTCCCTTATCATAGAAGGATGACAATGTGCATCATATGTTATACAGAAAGCTAGCCTAGAATACGTCGTGTCTTTTTTTAAATGCAAAACTTGAAAAAAAAATTATTTTGTTTAGCAGATAGTGGACATTCGTAAAGCCACGTCTGACGCTATAATCTATCGCACGTTAGAAGGATGTTGTAAGAATATTTGAGATAATCTCTGCCGTATAATTAAGAAAGTCAGTCATTGAGATTAAGATATTTCATATCCAACTACTTCTGAGCATGTGCAAAGAGCAGGCGGTTCATCATCGAGATCAGAAAACACATTTTGTTCAAATTTTGTTTTAAAATACTAGATTATATACTCAGGAATACGGACCTATAATTATGTGAAACACATTTCATCCCTCACATAATAGGAAGGAGAGCGTCCCAGCGTCCAGCGTCCCAGCGTCCAGATTCTGTACATTTTTGTTGCCGTTGGTCGGCGCTAGCATCGCACATGGAAAGTAGTGTATGATGCTAAACGATATATATTTCATATGTAATTTTGTTAAAAGTATACACTTGTAGAGAGCACATGCTCAGAAGTAGTTGGATATGAAAGATGTTAATCCCAATGACTCACTTCCTTAATTATACGGTGGCGAGTTTCCCCAAAACATCCTTCCAACGTGCGATAGATTATAGAGTGAGATGTGTCTCTGCGAATGTCTACTATCTATATACTAATGAAATTCATATTCTGTTTGAATTATATTCATATTAAAAACGACGTATTAAGCGGTGGCTTTCTATCAAACATATGAGGCACATTGTCATCCTTATATGCGAAGAGAAAGCCCAATCTTCTTATCATCCCAGTTTCCCACAACGCCGAATGATATGATGTACATGGCCAGTGGTGTCACCAAGGGAGGGGGGAGCAAATGCCCCCCCCAGTCAATGCCTTTGTCCCCCCACTCAGTTGCCCCCCCCCCAGTCAGCTCATGTACACAGTTCCCAGGAGCGAATGACAATATTAATTTTACTCCATAGACCCTAAACATTGCCTTTCAATCTTTGGGGTTTAAATGGATAAACCTCGCAACAAAAAGCCTATATAGACCTACTGTGAGCATACTTGCAATGTACAAACATCACGAAATGTTCTCATTGAGCCAGAGAAGTGCTACAAACATTGAGATTTTCAAAATCGCGTCCGACGCGGTTATGTTCCACAGCAAGCTAGTCTGTATGTAATTTGAATTCATATTGAGTGACAGACCTCCCAACCCTTCCGATTTTGGGGGAAAATTTTCGCTTTATTATTCGATTTCCGCCACTATGATTTTCCCCTTTATTTTTCCGCGAAACAGCAATTTCCGTGGATAGGCCTAGACTTTATTTAAAACACTAGCGCACTACAGTAAAATTAGAAGTTTGGATATGGATCAGAAGTGCTCTACAAGCGTGTTTATTTCATACAGAGTGTATATTCTGCATACAGAGGCTTGATTTTTCACCTCAAAAATGCTAAAAGCTCGGAGCTTCCGGGAGCTTTGCCCCTAGACCCCACCCATTAGTTCTCGCACTACGCGCTCGAATTGGCGCTACGCGATCACAACATTTTGTCCCCCCCCCCCCAACATTTTTCCTTGCCCTCATCTTGCCCCCCCCCTTCCACTTTTACAATCCTAGCTGGTGCCGCCACTGGATATGATTTACATGGCAATTATTATAATAATATATAATTTAATAATATAATACCTATATAATATTATTAGCTTGGACAAACTATTATTCATCCACCACTACAACCACTTCCTCTTCCACCTCTTCCACACCTTTCTCCTCTTCTTTTTCTGAATCCACCACCTCCCTAAAGTCTACTTTTTGCCATGTTTTTTTTTCTATCTACGGCATCAATATCTGTTCCAACTTCTTCTATAACAGCGTGGTTGTCAAAGTACATTCACTATCATGTAGCGCCATCTGTTGGGAAACTAGTTCTTCACGCTGGACCAATTACACCATAAGATCAGAACCCTATTATCTACTTCTGATAAGATCGTACAGAAAACTTCTTGCGCATAAATTTATGCATTGCTGGCACTTGCGATTGATATTGGACAGCCGTTTGCTCATTTACAGTCCAAACTAGAACGAATTAATGCAATTTGACAGGAGTAAACGTGATTGTCGTATCGCATTCTCAAACACGTAAAAACTGCCGCGTAATTACAACTCTAAATAGACTGAAACGGTTAGAATACTACTCGTCCTTCAATTAAGACTGCGATCGATCGGATTTGAAAAGATTCAATTTATACAGCGGCGTGTGAAACGTCTGATAAGAGGACGGTGTGCTTGCGATCTCGCTCGAATGCAGCGTCAAATCGAACTCTGAACATACAATTCATAACTTTTTTTTTATCATTTTTGGATATCAGACGGGGTTTGATGGTGGATCGCTTTTCCATGTTTTTTTAAAGACGCTGTGGCGTATGTTAGCTATTGACGAAATTCGGGAGCCAGGGAAAAACACATTTCTGAGATTGATTTGCAACCGTAAAATGTGAGGCTAGAATTGTGTGAAATGTAAATATGTTAAAATTTACAAATGTGAAACACGTGAAGATATATGTTGAATATAAGATGTTGAATATTAAATATACAGGCAAAATACTCACTAATGCGAGTTCCATGCAGTCGCGGGAAAATAAAGCTAGCTAGATTTACATGTAGGTGGTTCCTGCTTTATCGGGACTCGGATAAATAGGCGCATCGCTATATATGACTATACGACGATGTTTGATAAACATTCTTACGCACCTTGATATGTGTTCACCGCTTAATCGAGACATTTTCATGATTCCTGTCCAGTCACGATGAAGTGGAGATTACAATTCCTTCACGCGAGAACACATAACTAAGGATATTAATACATTTGTAGGCGGTGTTATATTATAGTCTGATTGTGCAATTATATGAGAAAAATATGCGATAATATAAGTAGATTTTATATCACTTTATTTAAATACAAATAAAATTTATATATAGTATAAACAATCGTATAAATTGTAATTTTATTCATTAATCATTTTATTTTAAATATTATTAATATTTTATTTATTAAATAAAATTTATTATATCTTTAACCCATAATTCACCGCGATAACTGAATATAAACTGATACTATGACGTCACGTTTATGCGGTCACTTCCTACATGTATTGACAATCTGTCGAATTGACGAGATCGATACTCGTCTTGTGTGCGTCACGTAGGAACCTTAAGTCAAAGTTAAAGCTGTGCCTGCCAAATACTTTACTTACTCTGAGAATAACCCTAGGCATATAACACCGGAAAGGCACACGCACGTAAAACGCGTATATAACAACTGAACATAACACAATAGAATCATAGGGCGATAGCACCTATAACTATTTATAGTAACTAGCTTAGAACGAAGAGAAATCATAGACCTGTCACACATGGGATTAATCATAAAACCCATAAAACAGACAGGAGACAAACCATAGACTTATATAACACAAGGGAACCATTGACGTACGTGTAACACAGGACATAACACAGTGGAATCATAGGCCCATAATATAAGGTAATCAGGTGGACATGACACAGACATGTGTACTTACATGTGTACTTACATGTGTACTTACATGACACAGACATGTAATACAGATATACAGATGTAATACAGATAAAATGCAGATAAAATTCATACATTATAAAGACATAATACAGACATACAACATACATAATATACAGACATAATACAGATATAATACAGACATAATACACACATAATAGAGACATACTACAGACATAATACAGACATAATACAGACATACTACAGACACAATACAGACATAATACAGACACGATACAGACATGAGCGCATTCACCGCTGATGGCCTGACCGCGCCGATCAACCATCGAGTATCACGTCCGTGGTTCCGTAGTAAATCCATCTCGCCATCTCTCCGAACGTCGTGTTCAGTGTTTTGATGTTCTCGGCCGTGTACTCATCGATCGCATCATCGATATTGTCCCGCCGCTGATTATAGAAGAGGTGAATCGCGTAGAAGGGCTTCCATTCGATTCTCTTCATGAACACGTAATAAATAAAACTCGTGTGCACGCCCAGTTTCTTGTTCTCTCTGTGCACGAGGTCGCGATTTCTCAGCAGGATCTGCTTCGTGGGTAGCTCGCCTCCGTTGTAGTACCCCGCGCTATCGTTCAGGTATCGATANTACAGACATAATACAGATATAATGCAGACATAATACAGACATAATACAGACATAATACAGACATAATACAGACATAATAAATACATAATACAGGCAAAATACAGACATAATACTGACATGATACAGACATAATACTGACATAATACACACATAATATACACATAATACGGACATAATAAAAACATAATACAGGCAAAATACAGACATAATACCAGGGGTAAATAATCACAAACAAATTTCTGATTATTTACTCCTGATAATACAGACATAAGGGCATTCACCGCGCATGGCTTGACCGCGCCATCAACAATCAAGATACACACATAATACAGATGTAATGCAGACATAATACAGATGTAATACAGATATAATACAGATATAATACAGATATAATACATACATAATACAGATATAATACAGATGTAATACAGATATAATACAGATGTAATACAGATAAAATGCAGATAAAATTCATACATTATAAAGACATAATACAGACATACAACATACATAATATACAGACATAATACAGATATAATGGAGACATAATACTGACATAATACAGACATACTACAGACACAATACAGACACGATACAGACATGAGCGCATTCACCGCTGATGGCCTGACCGCGCCGATCTGGCTGCGTGCAGCACGACGTCGACGTGGTTTCCCATCACGGTCGTCGGCCGCACGCGGGCGACGACCTCGATGCCGGGCGCGTGCCGATGTAATCAGGAATGATGATATAAAGACAAACTTGTGTTGTAACCGGAATAATCTTTAATAACTCATAGTACAGTGAAGACACATCGCACAAAGAGCCACAAACCCACGCACAGGCGCGAGAGCGCGTGTGCTTACTTCCGCGACCAGAACCAGAATCC